ACCACAAACCTATAAGTTATTGGGACACCTATAAACATGTGAGAATAAAAACCTCTAGAGAGACATCTGGGTCAAAGCCCATATCTGCAAAAAGATCCATCTGCGCTAATCAAGTATGTATAAGTGAGGAGCGTTTGGTACCCAGTGATCTTACCTTAGCAACCTCTTGACTTATGATACAATGAAGATTTTCTAGGATATCCTTTAAACAGTCCCTCTGGGAAGGAAGTCTGACTTTCGGGATTTCATTCAGGAGAAGATAAGTTGTATTTTGGGTGAATTAAATAGAATCAGAGAATTCTGATTTTTCACATACCATCTAGCCATGCTTATTAGTTAAAAACAAAATTTAAAATATAATGTTATCTCACAAGTTTATACATAGTAGATTCATATAGATGTATTAAAATAGAGTTTCGCAGGCATTTTGGCCTCAGCAGGTACTGCATGAGGTTACTGTATGAATGTGATAATGCTGGCACTTGTTTGGCATGATGGAAAAACTATCTGAAGTCTTAAGTGAAAATGCTAAGATAATCTAATTCTGGCAGAAAACCACCTGTGGACGTGGCCTTGTCTCCTTTCATTTATTCTGCTTTTGCAAAGGGTCTGGGTTTTGTTTTTTTCAAAGTGTTTTAACAGGATATCCCGGTCACATTTTTGACAGGCTGTTTATAGTTCACTTCTGCCCAGGGGCAGTGAAAGACACATTACAGGATAAGCAAGGTGGCTCTTTCTGAGTCAGAGAGAGGATGGAGGGTAGGATTATTCCCGTTTAAATGAATTCCGACAGGCTGACATCTGCAGAGCACCATGGGCCAGTAACAGAGCCAGAATTCATGCACAGGGTCTGCCGTGCCCAACAGCTCCCTTCAAGTAAATGTAGGGAGTGAAAACAAGAACTCGCAGAGACTGAGGTGACACTATTCAAAAATCGTCTTTCACAGTAAGACACCTAATCCTGTTTTGTCAGAGCTGTCAGCTGCTTGAGAAGTTGCTGTAGGGCCCTGGCCAGGTTCAAGAAGGGGGAAGCTGTTCCTCTCTCTCTCAATCTCTCTCTCTCTCTCTCTTTCTTTCTATCTCTTTTTCTCTGTGTGTGTGTGTGGGGGGGTGGAGAAGCACACGCGTGCGAATGTGGCAGCCTGAGGACAACCTTGGGTGTTGTTCTTCCGGCGCTGTCCACCTGACCCTGCCCCCTCTTTTTTGAGACACTGGCCTGGGATTCATCCAGTAGTCAAGTAAGCTAGGCTGGCCAGAGAGACCAGGCGGCCCCTCCGTGTTCCTGCCCGCTTAGTGCTAGGATGTCAAGGACATACTACCATGCCCAGTATTTTTTTTTAACACAGCTTCTGGAAATCAAACTTTGCTCTTCCTCATTGCAAAGCAAACACTTTTCCTCAGCGGGCTGTCTCCCTCTCTTGAGCAGTCCTTCCTCTTAGCCACAGCGCCCAGGCATCTGACCGTGCTTTGCTCTCACACCATTGGCTTGAGTCCTTCTCATCCTTTGTTGCACTCACTGTGGGAAGTGCCTACTGTGTGTTCTCCTGGTGCAGGAGTCGCTGCTGGGCCCCTGCTAGCCGGCCTCTCTGCCCACAGTGATTCTTGCACACAGTAGCTCCTGCACACTGTTGTTTACACACGGGGAACCAGGTGTCCCGGGTCCTCTCCGTAGCCCAAGGCTCTGAGCCTCTGGCAGTATGCTGAGGAATTTGGTTATTTTAATTGTTTTGGGTTTTTGCTTTATACATTCTCTTTTGTAGGAGAACCTGATTATTTGAAAACTTGTCACAAATACACATGAAAAATACACGGTACCTTCTTTGTATATTGATTCCATCTTAAATATCTAGTCCTGTAGGAAGAACAAAATATGAATTCAGGGATGATCATGTAGGAGTTTTGTCATGATCGTATTCAGATGGAATGTTTAGGTTGGTAAGATTCTCCTGAATGTACTTAGACAGTGTGAGTCACCCAAAGTATGACTCCGATACTACAAAGACTCAGAATGTGGCCATCATCACGAAGCGTACATAAAAGCAAACATAACTTATATTGTTGTGGGAGGTTAGGATACCTAATCTGCATGTTTAGAAATTTTATTTTGTATTAAGGGAAACCAAGTAGAAAAGTTTGTTTTTTAAGTAGAAAAATTCTTGGAGAAAAGTAGAAACAATCCTTTTCTGCTTTTAGGTTTTCTTTCTTCATTCCTCTTTCTCCTCCAGTTTTTGAAGATACTGTTTTCCTTTTTGTATGTCTCTGTAATTTTAAATCTCCACACAGAATATCATTAGCTTAGGACACTGCATTAGGTTCCCTCGTTCGCCATTTGCTTTTCAGGCCTGGCCTCTTGCTCTCTGAGTCTTCACTGGTTGTGCCTGAGCACTGCACACGGCTTCTGTGTAGGAGGTGCGCCATATTGAATTATTGCCTCTCAATCACTAAATCATATTTTGCCACAAGAACTATAAGCACTAACTCAGTAATTGAAAATAAATCATTAAATTGTATTATTTTAGGTGATTTCATGTGCCGGTCTGTATTTCTGTGCTAAAATGGAAAACTTTAGCTCCAGGGAAACATTCATTTCACAGTGGTTCTCAACTTTCCTCTTGTTTATACAGCTCCTCATGTTGTGGTGACCCCCAACCATAAAATTATTTTGTTGCTACTTCATGACTCTAATTTTGCTACTGTTATGAATTGCAATATGTGAACCTGTGTTTTGCAGTTGTCTTAGGAGACCCCTATGTAAGGGTCATTTGACCCCCAAAGGGGTTGAGAACTGGGGTTTAGAATCATTTCAAAGAATGTTGAAAGTAAGCTTATTGTTTGGGAAATATTAAATGTGGCTTTCTGTTAGGAGTCAGCCTAAAATGGCTGCCATCTTGCTGTATCGTGTCTGTGGTCCCCTGAAAGCCTGTGGGATAGTCCCTTTGCTATGGAGCACGTCAAGCTGCACCTGAACACTTAGAGCACACTTCTGCGCTTGACTGTTGTGGTGGCACCAAAGTAGGAGGCCGCCGGGCAGGCTAAGCGGTGGTGACTCAGGGACCTCAGAATGTAGCACCGCAACCCGTGAGCCGCTGGGACTTGAGTCCAGTTAGGCTCTCCCTGCTCTCGGTGGGGAAACCGCAGCTCCATGCCAGCAGGATTCTCTCAGAGCTGTCCCAGCTCTTCACCAGCAAGCTCACTGCCTCTCGGTCCACGTGCCCACAGCCCTGTCTGCCCTGGAAGGTCCTGGTGACTGGACCCCATCAACCTCCTTGCTACGTTCTTGACAATGGGTCTCTAGGAGCAGCATCTACACTGAGGGGTGTGGGCTGCCATCTTCCACCTCACTTCAGATTCTCCCTCCACCATTATCTCAGTGGCGTGCTCTTGAGCATGTTCTTCATGTGCTTGCTTCCGTGTTAGCTTCCTGGTGTGTGAGCCGGGTGGGTTACTACAGGGGTAGCCATACCGTGGGTAGTCTGTGCGAGAGTTAAAGGGTGACAGTGTGGGCAGTGCAGTGTAAAGGCCCGTTCCATGCTGTAATGGCCATCTCCTTTGTCTCTTCATAGTCTTGATGTTGGAGGCAAGGCACAGCTACATAGCCCACGCTGGCCTTGAACTCACTAAGGAGCTTAGACTGGCCCCAGAATCTTAATGTTCCTATTTCTAACTGTTACACGTTGGGTTACTGTGGTTCACTGCTGTTCCTGGATATGGTCTTTCTTTTCTTTTGTTCCATGGAAAATAATTCCTGTTAGAAAGCAACTCCGGGACAGCCAACACTACACAGAGAAACCCTATCTGGAAAAACCAATAATTAATAATAATAATAATAATTCCTGTCAGATGTCAACACCAGGAATAGTGCTTTCCCTAAACTGATGGCTCTGTTTTGATTTGGGGGCTTCTGTTTGTCTTCCTCTCTGAAAGGACTGCTGGAGAGCTGGGTGGCGGTTCACCTGTGTCTAGACACTGAACTGTTCAATGCATATTTTGTGTGCAAATCGTTCCCCATCTTCATACTTGCTTTCCCATTCATTTCCCTATGCTCTGGCTTTTTTTGCACTTTTAAAAAATGGTTTGTTATCTATTTTACATGCATTGGTATCTTGCCTGCTTGTATGTCTGTGTGAAGATATTGGATCCCCTGGAACTGCACTTACAGACAGTTGTGAGTTGTCATGTTGGTGCTGGGGATTGAACCTGGGTCCCCTAGAAGAACAGTCAGTGCTCTTAATCACTGAGTCATCTTTCCAGTCCTACCTTGTGCACTTTTGAAACACCAGTGTGTTTATGCTGTGTACAATATAAATGTTTCTGAGAACTAAGTCGGACGCAGATTACATGTTTCAGTTTGCGCTGCCATGGGGATGGGGAAACAGCAGGAGCCAGGAGGTACAGCAGGCAGACCAGGGCTCAGCTGTCTACACAGCATGGCATAGGCTTGGGCAAGTTACCTCCAAACCTCACCTCTTCATTTTCCAGTCCAACTCCAGTTTGTCTGAACCTTCGTCACTGGATGACTGTCCTATGTACATGTGTCTGTGTATGTACATATGTATGTACATATGTCAGCTGAAGTATGGCTGAAGGTATAGCTCGGTCAGTAGAATACGCCTCTGCCACACACTAGGGAGGTTGAGGTGAGAACATTAGGAGTTCAAGGTCAGCTCAGAGCTGACAGAGCGTTACAGAAATTAAGTAAGCTTCTTGGCTCCGGCACCCATCAGCCTATGGAGTAAATAAAGGCCCAGACCCTAGTTTAGAAATCCATGACGCCCAATCCCATCTCCAACCTTGTTAAACTGCCTAGGAGTCAGATGGCATTCCAGTAACAAGAGGTAGCATCTTCTGAAGCTGTGCTCAGTTCTGAGGGTCCAAGGCTTCCTAGCGTGGACGGCTTCCCGCCTGGCAGTCCAGTCTGAGGCTGTCATGCTGGGATGGGGAAGCCCCTTTGGACTGCAGCCTGTGTGTGACCCTGTTGTCTCCCTGTCCTCCCCTGTCAGCCCTGCAGCAGCGCCTGGGAACCAGCATCCTGTGGGAAGACGGAGGATCAGATGGCAGCCTCCGGGCAGACTCGAAAATACGTGAACGCATTCTCAGCTCAGACTCTGGTCATGTGAGACATCTCCAGAAAAGCATTATGGTTTTCAGAACACTTAAAATTGACTTTTGACATATCATTCCTCAACGTGGAGCTCTTCCTGGTTGAGAGAAGAATATTTTTGTTGTGGTACAACAGTTCAGAGCAGCACCAGGTGCGCTGTAGTTGCATGAAATCTCCCCGGATTTCACCCAACTAAAAAGGATTTTTTTAAAAAAAAATTAATGAATAACAGTCTTACCTAAATTATTAGGTAATGAATTGTAACCATTTGTTAATATCAGAATCAGATTTTTAAAGAAATATATAAAATGGTTTATTTGTATTTTAGAGGATCCAACAGATCAGTATTTTTTTGACTGTGGTTTTGAATTTTTTTTAAAAAAAAATGTACACAAAGAAATATCCCAGTATTTCATGTTGCTCAATCGTTAAACATACACATTGATATTTTTATAATCCAGTAAAAGCATTATTATGAATGTTGGCTGAATGGCAAGCGATAGTCAACGGAGCCTAAAAGAGCTCATTTATGGTTGGTAATGTTGGAAATGCATTCATTGTACTAAATCATTTCAGGAGGGTTTTTTTTTTGTTGTTAGCTTGCTTTAAAAATTATTACTGTATGAAATAGTTTTATAAAAAATATATTTTTATTCAGTAACTTAATTTTGTAAATGCCAAATGAACGCTGCTATGGAGTTAGCCTGTAGACATGCTGCTAGAGTCAGACAGGGCGGTAGAGCTTGGATGAAAAGAAAAGAACGTTGGTGTTAGATAATTGACTATGCACTAGTATTTCAGACAGTTTTATTTTTATATGTATGCCTTTTTTTTCTTTTGTAATTGAAAACTTATTTGGGAGATTTTTGCATTTGTTGTACATTTTCAGTTTTTTTTAGGAAAGTCTTTGTTGTTATTGTTGGTTTATAAAAGCATGCATTGCACTTCTTTTTTTTGGGAGATTTATGTTGTTCATGTCATGTGTTTTGTTTTTAAGTTCAGGCTTACTGTTCATTCACTCAGGCATTCTGAGTCTGTCTGCATTTCCCGTAGTCTTTGAGTATGTGGACCCAGAACTGCCTCATGGTTCCTGTGCTTTCGGGGAAGACAAATACGGAAGTCAGTAGCCAGTTCTGCCTTGAGAACATTTGCTGCAGGGGGCTGGCCCTGAACTTCTGAAATGACAGTGAACTTACTGCCTGGTAGCAAAATAAAGCTGTGCCCTTATTTTACATACTTCCTGACGTCTCTCGTTTCTGTGATTTGGGGTGATAGTTACACATTCAAGAAGATGAAACAAACTCAAAATACTCTTTTCTTTCAAAAATGTGCTTACTGTTTAAAATTAATTGTGGAGAGTCATGGCTACAGGTAAAGACAAGTGAAGTTAAACATTCACACAAGGATCACAGTGACAATTAGAAGATTTCCACTGTGTGCTAAGCAAGAGCACAAAAGCTCTTGAACTGAAAAAAAAAAAAAAAAGAAAAAAGAAAGAAAAGAAAAGAAAAGAAGCCCTTCTAGAAGGTACTGGTATGTGAGGTAGGGAGATGGTTCAGCATGGAAGGTGTTTACCACATAGAAAAGGGCTGAGTTCCCATCTCCAGAAGCCGTGTAAAACCAGAAGAGGAACCTATGTCTGTAATCCCAACACTCCTGTGGCAAGATGGGATATGGAGACAGAGGAGCCCCAGGAAGTTTGCATCCAGCAAAGTCACACAGGAAATGGCAAAGAACTAAGAGACCCTGTCTCTTAGGTGAGACCTGAAAGCCAAGGTTGTCCTCACCAGCTGTGGTAGGCATGTTCCCTGGCCAGTCTCACGTAAACCGCTGTGTTCTGCCTTCATAATGGGCTGACACCTCTGAATCTGTGAGCAAAAAAAAAATCCATCTTTCCTCAAACCGCTTCTATATTTTATCACAGTGCTGAAAAGTAACAAACACAGACATTCCACACAGTCAGTGCTCATAAAGCCAAGGATGCGTTAGCGCTACACAACCATGTCATAATCTTTTGATTGTCCTGATGTGTAACACGCTTTCTGAGTGTTGGGAGGCGCCTGGCAGCTTATGTCAGAAAATGGAGCCTCGATGACCACTTGGTTATCTCTGCATGTCAAACTAAATGCTAGAGATGATGAATGTGGGGTAAACCATGAGCTTTGTCTAGGAGAGGGTTAAGGGTGTGGCTCAGTCGTTGGGCAAGAGCTGAGCATATAAAGGTCTGGGTTTGATCCTCTATAAACCCTTACCTATATGTAAACCACAGTTGTGTGGAAGGCAACTCTGGATGGCTATTTTACTACCCAGATTGTTCTAGTAGCTTCAGGAAGGCACAGGTTTCCAACTGATTGCCTTAAAGTAATGTTGTTCTCTATTATAGTTCTAGGTGCTAGGAAGCCCAAGACCATTGTCCTGCAGGCAGATTTAATGTCTAGTCAGAGCATACTTCCTGTCTCACACAAGGCACTGTTTCATTGAGTTTTCTGTTTTCATGTAACAGAAGGGCCTGAATTATTTTCTTGATTGATTAGTTGGTTTGCTTATTTGAAGCAGGATCACCTGTAGCCAAGGCTGGCCTTGAATTCCTGAGCCTCTTACCTGCAGTTGCCAGGTGTTGTGATTGCAGACATGGGACAGGACACACAAGTCTTGCTTGTTTGTTTTTGTCATCTGTTTTATTTCGTGTTTTAGTGACCCTGCTCTCTGTGACAGAAACTCGGGTAGCCAAAAAAAATGGAAGTAATGTATTTACTACCTAAGTGAGAAGCTGCTCTCCAGGTTGCTGTATAGTAAGTTAGCATGAAGTGGCCTCTAAGGACAGGAGAGACACAGAGAGGACCAGTATCAGAGATGCCGAGGCCCTCTGTCCTCAGACCGGACTGGTAGATGCAAGAGATGTCAAGGGCTACGGTCCTGGAGGACTTTAGCATCACCGAGGTCTTGCTGGGGCCCTCTGCATTGCCTCTTCTGTTCTGGAGTCTGACAAAATCTGGTTGTCCTTCAGACTTTGCCTTTTACCATCTTTCTGACCTCCGCAAGTCTTATTTCACCTCTCTAACTTCATTTTACTTACATTGAACATGAAAGTATACATCAGGGCTGCTGGTCATGATGCAGAAGATGTGAAACAGGAAATACATTCATGGATCTCCATAAGACTCTGCCGTGCCTGTCCCTTAGGCGCATCACTAGGACATCTGAGAAGACAAGGTCCGTGTCTACTGCCCGGTGATGGGGAAGGAAAGCTTTCTGAGACTCATATCCTTGGCTATAAATTAAATATATTCAAATATAAATATTCTTTCCTAATAGTCTCAGTCATTCTAGCACAGGACTAATCCTTCTTAGATAACATATATGTGAATGATAGGGCAATTTTTCTTCAGTTTCTTGGTTTCTAATGTAGCATATCTTATATGGGCTCATTCTCATCCAGTGCTCACAGTGAAATAGGTGGTGAGAGAGCGTTGACCAAGTGCTTACTGCGTGCTGTCAGTGAGGGCAGGAGGGAAGCTTCCAGCAGTGAGAAACATAATGGTGAAAGCCAAGGGGCCAGAGTGTTGAGAAACTGAAAGGGAAATCTGGCAAAAAAGGGGAAAGATAGGAGGCTATGAATTGAGGCTTGAACTTTGTTCTTTGCGATATGGAGAGTTATTAAAGGCTTTTAGGTAGAGAAATAAAATGATTAATTTATATCTGACTTCTAGAAATCATTCTGTTCAAACCCTTTATTCACATATAGTATAAAATTAATTCTCAGATTAGTAGGAGGACATGATTAGAGTCCAAATTCCATGCCAGTTAATTTATTTTTCATATATTTCCTGCTGCTTAATTTCAAAAGGATGTGCTTTAATCCTAGAAAATCTAACTGCACGCACACACACAATCTTTGGTCTGTGCTTCATGAAAAGTCATTTCAAATTTCATAATCCATAAAGTAAAAATTGACTCAGGAAGAAGGGATTGTACAGAACACTTTCCTCTTTTAGAAGTGAAATATTTTCAACCAACAATTTATCTAAAACCTCCCATAGCAAACCATCCACTGAATCTTTGTGTGGCATAATCTATGATTCTTTTTGGAAGACTTGCTGTATTGTTATATTATTTGATCAGCGGTTCTCAGGTTTTCTTGTACATCAGAGACTTAAAATACTGTTAGACTGGAAACCCTCCATCCTACCCTCAGGAATTTAAGTCAGGGCTGAGTGGTATGTGGACCAGTGTTTAAGAGCCACAGGTGGTTTGACACAGGTGGTTTAAGGGAACTGAACTGCAGAAACCCTGCCTGGCCTTTGTATCTGACCATTCTTCACGACTTTCTAATGAGCATGTCCACTGATCTCCAACAGAACATGAGACAAAACGGCCCGCAGCTCTAGGATTTTCTTAACTCTAGAGGTTTAGTATGCTACCAGTGTTGGTAATTAGGTCTGTCGTTTGTCTGGATTTTACAACTGTAGGAAGCGTAATTTCACTCCCAGTACGTTTGAACCTCTTTTATCACATTGCCCATGTTCTATCAAAAGGGAATCTGTATTGATGGATTTAACATGGAAACAAAGCAGAACTCTCATTCAGGAAAAGTCCTTGTTTCCAAACTGGCTGCAGTGAAGTCACTGCTCTTCACCTTTCCAAACCTCTGAGCTTTGGGTTTCTGTTCAGATGGAGGAAGTATTTAATCCTCTATACAGTTACAAGCATACAGAAGTTCTCTGAGCAAAGATAAACAAAACTCAAAGAAAGCTTCAGTAGCCCAAAGACATTGGAACACAGAACTCCAGCTGTGAGATTTTTAGGTAAAGAACAGCCTCCGAGATGAACCTAGAAGCTGAGGAATCACACTTACACTGTTTGGGGAAGATGTAAAAACAGTCATGAGTTGTTTTTATTTGACTTAGCTCTTTAAAAACATAAGTTTATTCAGCTACTTTTTAATAAAACTATATATCCAACCATGGACAGATATAACTCATCCAGCTATTCAGGTTAGAACCTAACACTGATTTTTTTCAACACCTTTTTTTTTTTTTAATTGAGCACTTCCAATGCAAGGCAAAGTTCAATTGTGTATATGTACATATATACATATATATATATATGTTTATACACACACAACTGAAGTGTAATTTCACTCCCAGTATGTTTGGACCTCTTTTATCATGTTGCCCATGTTCTATCAAAAGGGAATCTATGTATTGATGGATTTAACATGGAAACAAAGCAGAGCTGTCATTCAGAAAAGTCCTTGTTTCCGAGGACTTTATATAGATAATGTATGCATGTATGTACGTATTCGCTTCTAAAAGAGATCTCCTTTCTTTTCATTCATAACTGACACTAGGAAGGGTTCTGTGGAGGCCATGCAGGCGCCCCTGACCCATGTACCTAGCTGTGACTCATGACCAGAATGTAAGAGGACATGGACGGTGGGAACAGCTGTGGTGATCACTACTCAGTCCCTAAATGTTACCGTGTGTGTCATGTGACTGCAAAACTGGGAACTCACGGAAATCCCGAGACCCTAGGCCTGAGCTGGGGCTGAAGAATGTGTGCTTCTAGTGGATTTCCAGGCAGAGCTGATAACTGTCAGCCCAGAATCCATGCCGACAAGTACTGTAACGTTCCTAAGACCTTGGGCACAGTGCCTCGCTCTTAGTAAGTCCCACATTTGGCCACACCATAGGAGAATCCTACTGGCAGGCAATAGAGTCAGTGAGGATTTTATGTCAGGGATGAGACAGGGACCAAACAGATGGTTTCTGTCCCCACGGAAGGAGTTCTCTAGAGAAAGCTGTGTCATTTCACCAGTACTGAGCTCAGTGGAAGGGAAACAGGGACTCCTGGAGCTGGACACGGGAGTCACCTGACCCTCTATGTCCAAGTCTTCTGAAAATCTCTTTTAGGACCTCCTTCACCAAGATTTGTCAGGAGGCCAGCTGGGACCCAAGAGCAGAATACTCTCTTGGGAAAATAGATGGCAGGAGAAAGAAGAGGAGGCAGATTTCAAGAAGAGCACAGGTTAAACCTGCCAAGAGCCAGACCTAGACCTTGGCTTGTTACTGCTAATTATAGACACAGCCCTGCCTGGTCAATTAGAAGTTAGAAGGTCTCTAACGTGTATCTATGGATGTGATGGCTACCAGGGGGAAGGGTTTGGAGATGTGACTGAAGATTACATAGTTTCTTCCTTATCTCCTCTCAGACTTATGGATTCCAAAATGCTAATA